CGTCAGATTTAATAAGGATTACTCCACTATGAATAATTTTCTGATCCCTTATAGACTCCATAAATGTGACGGTCATGATAGTAATCAAGCGGCGTGTTGATCAGATCATAGCTTAGCATTCCGGAGGTTCTGGATCCAACTCTCTTGATTCAAGTTCGTCAGTTGCTTCACTTGTTCGTGTAGACAAATAATGAGGCAAAAATTTTCCATAAATAATCTTTCACTTTAATTCACTATTGTTATGATCTCATCTAATCATCGCCACCCACCCACCCATTCTCGCGATTCCTAAACGAAACTGTACTTTGCACCAGATTGGTGAGACAATCCACCAACTGTCACCATCTGGCGAGAATAAAAGTAATATTTAAGGGTAGTATGACCCTAACGGTTTAATATCGTCTTTAAACCTCATCGTACGTAATGAACATCGAGAAAAAGCAGTGGGGCACGTTTTATTACAAAAAAAGTTCCACCTAGTTTGTACCTACCCTAATTTTTCTCGCGAAGTGTAGACATGTTATATTGTATTAATGTGTTTATTTCTAGGTCTGTATCAATGTTCCTCATGTCGACGACTTTATAACAAGAGGGTGTCACTCTATTATCATGCAAAGCATTGCGGAAAAGCACCAATACACGCATGCCCTCATGATAACTGTTCTTATCGTACAAATTTGAAGTCGAACTTCACAAGACATCTGGCAACGAGACACGCTTATTACTAAGATCAAAATTTGTTCTATTTAAATGCGAGCTTGTCGACATTATTTAAACAGTATGTCGTCGTTATGTTCCTTAATTTCCTACAAAATTACGTAATATTTTTAATCAGCATCTTTTTATTCTACAACTGTGTTTTATAGATAATGATCTTGATAAATTTTTTACAACTTTATTGCTATTAAATTGTTCCTAGGCAAGTAATGCACATAAAATGTAATTAAATTAAATTATGTATGTGTAAAATGATTTATCAATAAGCAGTTTGCAGAAGGTGAGAAAATAAATGTACTTTATTTGAAAAAATGCTTTACTCGATATGTTTTGTACCCAAAACATTGCCATTGTCTTTTGGTTTCCTCTACACACAGTTTATAAACATTTGAATACAGTTTCACTTTTGTTTTGATCTTTCTTGTAGTATTCAAAACTTACCGCAAATATATTTTAGAAAGTTTGCCGCAGCAAATGGGAAATATAGAGAATTTCATGAGAGAAGTTTTTTCGCGGGGAAGACCACGGATAACGTTTACAGAAGATGAGATTGTGGAACTACAGAAGGAATTTAAAAAAAATCCTTACCCTTCTCTAGCACAAAGACAAGAATTGGCACAAAGATTAAGCTTAAGCGAAGGAAATGTTAGAAGTTGGTTTCAAAATAGACGCGTAAAATGGAAGAAAGAATTTGAAAATTTAAAATGAATTAATTAGCGACGAGGCTTCATTTTTAATTTCCTGTATCTATCTTTTTTCTATCGAATTGTTAATCGACGTGTTTTGTAATAATATCTTTCGACATTAATAAATCCATCACCCATAGATACCATGTGGAATTATTATTATTATTATTATTATAATATACATCTCAATAAAACATTTTTCTTTAATATTTTTGACTTATTCTTTAATAAATGTCTTTATTTTTATAAAGAGAGTATCGGTCATCATGTATAACAATTTTTGAATGTTTGTTATTGTATATTTCAGTATTCACATGTATCAGATGTGCCAGGACTTATAATTTTACACTTTAACACTTCTTCATCATATAAAAGAAGAATGCGGCGAGTTACCATCAAAAAAGTGTCCATTTTGTGGCTTCGTGTCTTTTATTAGGAAACGCCCTGGAAAGAAATATACTCATCATGCGTTTAAAAAATCCAATTAAATATTAATTTTTTAACGTACATATTGATTTATATTTTCTTTAGTGTACTAATATTTGTACTACCGTAGCTTTTCTTTTCCTTTGTCATATGATTTTCATATGTAATTAAACATATATTAATCTATACTTTCTAAAAATTTTAAATAGATACAGATTTGCTTCCTTATTAAGTTTTACATCATCTCTTTCTCTCTCACGTGTTTATGATTACGAAATCGATCACGTATTATTCGTTATGGAGTTTTCGTTACATAAACCTCCCCCTCTTTCTCTCTCTCAACATGAGAGTTTTATCCTTGTAAAATGTTCCACTTCCATAATCTAATGTGTATACCTAGTAGAAATGTGTCTAGTCTGTAAACAATGGTTACCGTATAAAGTGATTAAACTTTTTAGTAATATTGTTTCCATTTCAGATTTGGTTCGAACGTTTCTACCTATACGTAGATTTCTATGTTCAAAGTGCCCAAAGAGTTACAAACACAAAACCCATTTAAAAAGACACATTGACTTTGAGTGCGGCAAAGAACCAGCCTTCCGATGTGAACTCTGTCTTTACAGCTGTTTTAGAAAAGACGTCCTTCAAATGCATATAAAGACACATATTAAGCGGTCTTGTTAGCTTTTTGTATAAAAACAGTAAACGAAAATGTTCTTTGAAAGCCAAGCATCATCTAATCGAAAATCTTATCATAAAATTATCGTAATTGTTTAATTTATAACTTATGATCAGCTAATATTTCTAAGTCTTGAAAATACGAAATTCTTTGTCATTAATGTTTATTATTGTGTAAATGTCGCTTTATTAACTAGAAGGATTAGCTGATCAATGCTGTGAATAGAATAGAAATTTGTCAATCCTTGTTTGGGTTCTTTTGACATTTACGATTGAATTGTAATTATTGCAATAAACTCAGAATTATGTGCGTAGCCAGGTGTCTACCATCAGTGGTAAAATATAATTTTATTAAACATACCAAATTGACTTAACTTTTATGTTTTACTGATAAGAATACTTTCAAGCCATTAAAATAAAAATCATTCCTACCATTCGGCTCTCATTTAAAATATAAACATGCAATATACCTTTGTATCAATGCAATCAAAACACATAATATGTAAAAATTATGTTTAATTTATTACTTTAAATGAATATTTTTTTAGGTATTGTACAATTCCAACAGTTTGAAAAACGACGTTCACTAGCAAAGCGTCAAAAGTTTCCGTGTTCATCCTGTGAAAAATCATACACTACAGCGAATAACTTAAAAAGGCATATGAGAGTCGAATGTGGCAAAGAGAAACGTTTTATATGTACAGTCTGCAGCAAATCGTTTTACTATAATTCGAAGTTACGGTGTCACAAATTGCGTTGGCAGCACAAATAATTAAACAAACTCTGCATTTTGGCATCTTCAACGTCGGCGTCAGGTAGAATCCTAATAATTAAGACCACTAGACGACTGCTACTCAATTACTTCAGAACTGGGGACAACGAGGGAACAACGTTTCAATAAAAAAAAATTTAAAAAAAAATGCCTGCGCTACTTTTCCGAGGAAATAAGAGTAAAAGTGTTTCGACGCATTTGTAGTACAGTATCGATCACCATAGGTCTTAATCGATAGCTACTGTCGATCAAAACTCACTATATCTTTCTTAACTACCTGTCAGTTTAAAATTATTTGGTTTTACAAATTCTTTCTTGTAATAGATGTACCTATTCACGTTAGTACATGCGATTAGATACTCCGATTGTTTCCAATTTTGATGTTAAACGTATGTTATAATAAAAATCAGCACAAAGTGCATACTTGTATTATTTGCTTGGTGTATAATAAATAAAAGTCGTTGTCCGTCAATCTTTTTGTTTAATTGATTAGTATGTTAATTGTTATGATTAGCACGATGACTTGACACTTTTTGTAGATTTCTGTTCTTCTGACCCGCAAGGAATTCAATATTTTAGCATAAACATAAAACGACAGCACCAGTGCGACCGGTGTGAAAAGTCGTACAGTTCATTGTCCAACCTACGACGTCACAAAAGAGTGGAATGTGGAAAAGAGAAAAAGTTTAAGTGCCACCAGTGCGAAAAGGCCTTTTACCATAAGAACGATTTAAAGTGTCATCTTCCCGTTCATATGAAGAAAACGTTCATTAATTTGTAAATCAAAAAACCACTACCAAATCACATTCACCATTGTAATATTGTTATAAAATCAAAATTTTGTAAATATGTAATACATAAATAAACGTACAAAAGTACTCAATTTTATTTGTTGAGTGCATCGCAAGTCCATAAGAGATTTACTAGGCTGTTATGAAAATGATCCACGTCAAACCACAGTCTGTATGGATTCTGTACAGTAGGTTCACTCCTTTGATCTGCCAATGTCAGAAATTAACTTTATGTGCGCTGAAATGTCACATACTAGAACAGTTCAAGTGTTTAGACATAAAATGTATTTGCAATATGACAATCTGTACAAACCAACCCCTGCTTAGCGACGAATTCGTAGATGTAGTGGTGAAGCATCAACAGGAGAGGAACATAAGGGCGTGACTGCGAAATGAATCCACTGTATAGAACCTTTATACTGTGGCCTAGCGTTACTTGACTTAGAGACACAGTTCACTGCATGTTGTCTCATTGTCTCTATCACATAGTTTTAAACACAGTTTGTGGATGGACAAGTCGCAGGACAAAATATATATTCAGCACCGATGTGATGATGCAATAACTTTAATATAAACCAGGTGGTGGCTGAGGGTGCATAATTTCAAAATTAGTAGATATGTTACCGGAAATGTATGAAATCCGTCATTGTATACAATTATTATTATTATTAAATATATTTCCTAGGAATTGTATACAATTCTGAGATTTCATACATTTTCGGTAATAGATAGGTATACTGTAATTGTAAACGTAACTGAGGTATCGGCCGTTTAAGATAGTTTTCCATTAAACCTCATTGCAAAAACTCTAAACACTAAACGCAACTACTGCCAGTACTTCGACTTTGTTCCACTTGCAAACAAAATTATATATGCCACTTCGTTACTTTTAATTAAAATGTAATTAACATCACAATGACTTGATGTTTTTTTGTAGATTTCTGTTCTTCTGGTCAGCGGGGAATTCAACATTTTAGTACAAACATTAAACGGCAACATCAGTGCGACGGGTGTGAGAAATCGTACAGTTCTTCAGCTAATCTACGACGTCACAAAAGGGTAGAATGTGGCAAAGAGAAAAAGTTTAAATGTTACCATTGCGAAAAAGCATTTTATCATAAGAGCCATTTAAAGTACCATCTTTCCGCTCATATGAAGAAAATGTTTTTTAATTTTCATATTAAAAATCCACCTAGCCTACTTCCCAAATAACGTTTACAATCTAATAATGTTTGTAAAATCCGATTTTTTTAAATGTGCAATATATCAATAAATATGTTGAAATACTATATTTTGTTTGTTAAGTGTATCGATGGGTCTTCGCCTGTATTGCACACTGACCTCAATTTCATCGAACTTGACGCGTGATCTTGTAGTTGTAGCTTGTAGCATGTCATGCCATGGCAATAAAAGTAGAGCTTGATCTATTTTCTTGGCACGCCACTTAAGTGTTACTTCACTTTATTGTTAATCAACCAAAACTTAATAGACGGTTGATCTAAATTTCTATATTGATTTATTGAAGTAAATCTCTGCATTTATGATCAGCTATGTGACGAATATTCAAACAGGAATATGTAAAAAAAATATCTGGAAAAAGGATGCACTATATGTTTGTTTGGTTTTGCAGTAGGGGTACATTCAATGTCCTCTTTTCGACGGTTTTCATTCATATTAAGTAAATTAACTCAATCTATTACACTTTCATCGACTAACATTATGATACTACTACCACACTATACCTGTGTGCTTTAAAAAAAATACAACGTGTAATTATACAACACGCTACTGAAGTGAAACTTCTTCAAACACACAAACATACCAGGATAGGGGTTAACGAATTGGTTTAATGGTATTATTCGTACACTATGAATTTAAATTTTACACTATACACGCCGGAGTTGCCTGTAGCGAACGTTGCATTGAAGTGCGCTCACAGCTCAAGCGATCCCCACTACGACCCCGACTGCGTGTCCGAGTAGAGGGGGGGCATCCGTTGCATGATTTCGTTACATAGCAACTCGCATACAACGAACTTACCCTAGCGTGCGTAAAGAAGTTTCACTTCAAAAACTTATGTCACACCAATGTCATGCCAGAATCACGCTTCTGCTATGTCTTAATGCTGCGCTTCATCGGTGGGCGCTCGCCCTTACTCGCTGCGTGTAGCTTTTCATCGATTTGGCTCGCCACATGACGCCTTTTGAAAGTGGCTTGCCATAGACCAAAAAGCGTATTAAAAACGACAGTGGTAGTATAACATTAATATAAAATTATAATCGCAAGAAAGATGATGCAGCAGTGTTTTATAACTAAATGAAATACAAACAGTCTCTGTCGGAGTTTTTCATGAAAAAATAACATGCTACGAAATTCTTGAGTTCAGCTTAAGGTCGGATGCGAGTGTAGCGAAACACGTTTGCATATTTTTAATTGTTTTGCTTGAAATCTAGTCAATTTTGCAGTAGTAGGTATACGTTATTGGTGCACCATACTAACAACATTTCTTTTAGGTTCTCGTTTCTCATGCAACAACTGTCGAGCCTCATACAAACGTAAATATCACCTGAAGGCACATCTGAAATACGAATGCGGAAAGGAGCCGCAATTTAAATGTTACAGATGTGGCAAAAGATTCAAACGAAAAGGAAATCTTAACCAACACGTTAGAGTAGTATGTGGAGGAAGTTAGACTTAGTTTTAGTAAAGTCACGAAGGTCATTCGTTCTTATTGTGCATTTTACTTTATCATTTGACATAAAAACTTTCGTGCAATCTGATTACAATAAACTGTAATGTAAAACACTATTTAAAAGTGTTTTGTCTTAAATTATTATTACGATTTCCAAATGCAGAATAAATATTGTAGATAATTGTGTTCCTTATCTTCTCCTACTGCTTTTGTACATTTGTGATAAAATTATGTAATGAAAACGCATTATTTTAATGATTTTGTCTGTGATTTGTAAATAATTCCGTTACTGCTAATAATAATTTTAATTATGCCAGAATCAAAGCCAAAATGGAGACAAAAAACAATTTATTTATCAAACCGACAGTCGACGTTATTATCTGAAAATAAATGGAAGAAATAGAAAGTTAATTTGAACAAAAATTGTAGCAGTTGATGTTTCCACAATTGCGTAAAAATAAGTGATGGTGCCAGCCCTTAATTAGTTATTCTCATGATCGCTGTATTTGTGTTAATGTGAGCTTTATGAAATTGTATGTAAAAAGTGTAATATCTAAATTACATTATTAAAAAATTTATTTATTATCTGTTTGATTTTTGTACAATTGCACCAAATACTTTGTATTTTAACTCACCTGTTTGTTATTACATAATTTTTTTATAAGTACAATTGGCGGATTATTACAAGTATTTATTATCTATTATNCGTTGCATTGAAGTGCGCTCACAGCTCAAGCGATCCCCACTACGACCCCGACTGCGTGTCCGAGTAGAGGGGGGGCATCCGTTGCATGATTTCGTTACATAGCAACTCGCATACAACGAACTTACCCTAGCGTGCGTAAAGAAGTTTCACTTCAAAAACTTATGTCACACCAATGTCATGCCAGAATCACGCTTCTGCTATGTCTTAATGCTGCGCTTCATCGGTGGGCGCTCGCCCTTACTCGCTGCGTGTAGCTTTTCATGGATTTGGCTCGCCACATGACGCCTTTTGAAAGTGGCTTGCCATAGACCAAAAAGCGTATTAAAAACGACAGTGGTAGTATAACATTAATATAAAATTATAATCGCAAGAAAGATGATGCAGCAGTGTTTTATAACTAAATGAAATACAAACAGTCTCTGTCGGAGTTTTTCATGAAAAAATAACATGCTACGAAATTCTTGAGTTCAGCTTAAGGTCGGATGCGATTGTAGCGAAACACGTTTGCATATTTTTAATTGTTTTGCTTGAAATCTAGTCAATTTTGCAGTAGTAGGTATACGTTATTGGTGCACCATACTAACAACATTTCTTTTAGGTTCTCGTTTCTCATGCAACAACTGTCGAGCCTCATACAAACGTAAATATCACCTGAAGGCACATCTGAAATACGAATGCGGAAAGGAGCCGCAATTTAAATGTTACAGATGTGGCAAAAGATTCAAACGAAAAGGAAATCTTAACCAACACGTTAGAGTAGTATGTGGAGGAAGTTAGACTTAGTTTTAGTAAAGTCACGAAGGTCATTCGTTCTTATTGTGCATTTTACTTTATCATTTGACATAAAAACTTTCGTGCAATCTGATTACAATAAACTGTAATGTAAAACACTATTTAAAAGTGTTTTGTCTTAAATTATTATTACGATTTCCAAATGCAGAATAAATATTGTAGATAATTGTGTTCCTTATCTTCTCCTACTGCTTTTGTACATTTGTGATAAAATTATGTAATGAAAACGCATTATTTTAATGATTTTGTCTGTGATTTGTAAATAATTCCGTTACTGCTAATAATAATTTTAATTATGCCAGAATCAAAGCCAAAATGGAGACAAAAAACAATTTATTTATCAAACCGACAGTCGACGTTATTATCTGAAAATAAATGGAAGAAATAGAAAGTTAATTTGAACAAAAATTGTAGCAGTTGATGTTTCCACAATTGCGTAAAAATAAGTGATGGTGCCAGCCCTTAATTAGTTATTCTCATGATCGCTGTATTTGTGTTAATGTGAGCTTTATGAAATTGTATGTAAAAAGTGTAATATCTAAATTACATTATTAAAAAATTTATTTATTATCTGTTTGATTTTTGTACAATTGCACCAAATACTTTGTATTTTAACTCACCTGTTTGTTATTACATAATTTTTTTATAAGTACAATTGGCGGATTATTACAAGTATTTATTATCTATTATTTATCTTACGTTAACATTTTTTTTCAGGAAGATATTGTTGTACACGATGTACCTCTCGTTTTAAGCGGAAGGGTGATTTTACTAGACACGCGAAATTCGAGTGCGGGACAGAGCCCCAATTTGTTTGTTCTTATTGTCAAAAAAGATATAAGCGCAACTGGCAATTAACGACCCACATCGCTGCTGCTCATTTTTCCGGTGAAAACCACAAAATTCATACATGCCCTCTTGATAACTGTTCTTACAGGACAAATTTAAAGTCGAATTTGACAAAACATCTCAAAACAAGACACGTGTAGGGTAACGCATTTGATACTCAAAATGAATTCAGTCGACAGAACCCAATAGAGGACGAAAATTCTAAAGTCTAAATAGTTTTGATGCAGTCATCTTTTGAAAGCTAACTCATTGGATTTACAGTACTAATAGCACACCTGGTTAATCCGATGAAGAAATTTTCTAACACAAACTATACTCATTATTATTGAAAATTTTTACCATCTTTGTTGAATGATTTTATTTCGCAGTTTTGTTTGGCTGCTTTCTAAAAAAATTACGGGATACTTCACCGCCCAGCGACCACCATTGTATTTTTTTAACTATAATAACTGTTATTAAGTACCTAAGTAATAAATAAGTCTAACTATTAGATGTTTATAAAATGTAATACTTAAAAGTTAACTTAAATTTTGTAGTTTAAAAAATAAATGAAATATTTAATTAAAGGCAAAGAAATATCTTTTGTTCGTTGTATATATCTTTTTTAAAAAGCGCTAGTATAATATTTTCAAAACATTTCCGCCAAACTTTTAAAAATTTGTCGCGCCAAGTAGAAAATGTACGATTTCTTGGGGAGAACATTTTCACGGGAGGAGGGGGTCATAGCGTTAGTTCGTTCGGTCGTATCACCACAGAAGACAGCTGCATCTGTTTCCATGACAAACAATATCCGTATCTATCAGTATGACCAAAGCCGGCATAAGAACCTTTATTCAGAATTCCAGTAAATTATAAATTGCTTTCAGCTTTTCAGGTGGTAATTGGAGGGTTTTATTTAGAATTAAGATTTTTTTTCAATATGTATGTTACATTATTTTATTTTTTTTAGGAAGGTATTATTGTCCACGATGTTCTTCTCGCTTTAAGCGGAAAGGTGACTATACCAGACACGTGAAATTCGAGTGTGGAAAAGAACCTCGATTTCCTTGTACTTACTGCGGAAAAAGATTTAAACGTAACAACCAGTTGAGATACCATACCGCTGCAACTCATTTTTTCAAAAAAATGGACAATTAAAAAAACAAATAAAAATTTAATTGTTATTGTTATTATTATTATATTGTGTATAAACCTATAAACTATAGCATTAAAATGTTAGAAATGTTTTGTTAAAAATCATTAATTATATTGATAATAGGTTTAGTTTTAAATAAATCACAAATTAATTGAGCCCTTAAACTACTTAGATATTTGACGTTATGAAAAACGAACATTCATAAACTCTTTGCCAACTATTCGCTTTTATTTAATATTAATTTGAAATCATTTTTTCGATTTTTTATTCACCCACTACAAACTACCACAAAATTAATGAGGGAAAAATTGTTCTGTTGTTACACCCCCGCCGGGAATCGAACCCGGGACCTTTGGCTTTACGCACCAATATTCTGACCACTAAACTACGAGAGGTGACAACAGCAACCACGACCATCCGACCTACAAGGTTAACGATCCGTCGATTTTTATTAACTTATTTATATATGTATTAAATATATGAAATCCTATGACATTGTTAGTTACTTAATAGTGGATTAATATGCAATATTAATTTGAAATCACTTTTTATTTACCCACTACAAACTACCTCAAATTAATGAGGGAAAAATTGTTGCTGTTGCTTTTATTTATTTGTTAATAATTTCTTTCGTAGTCCCAGACTGTGCTAAATCATCTGTATTGTTTTTGACACCTTGTTGGTAAATATATGTAAGTATTTTGTATAAATAGGCTAATTCTGAAAAGTATTTGACGAATTAACAAGAATTATGTAGAATCCAATTTGTAGTGAATGAGAAAATCTGTCCCTTGCTTATATTATTTGATACATGTGTACGTAATTGTAATTAATATGGAAATGTTTTTATCGTAGGTAACTATGAAGAACTATACTATACTTGTGGCACGTGTTATCGATCATACAAGCACAGAGGAAGCTTACGGAGGCATATAACATACGAATGTGATAAAAATCCCAGATTTAATTGCCCGGAGAAGAATTGTTTCTTTATGTGCAAACAAAAGACTGGCATAAGACAACATCTACGTAAAAAACATAAACTGTTTTAATGCTAAAACAGAAATCTGTAACTAAATACATATAATATAATACGTAAAATGTAAATAAAGTATTTTATAACTGCGTTTTTAATTGTTTTTGTCATCCCATCCTGCATATACAGCAATAAAACTTTCAATGGTAATCCATACTGTGTTCCTTTAGTAATTGTCGATTTTACATTGACTTTTTTTCAGGGGAAGAATCGTCTGGGATATTTGTAAACAACAAGGCTCAAATGGAAAGAAAATTTTCTTCGGGAAAGTCCATTTGTACGTGTATGAAGTGCGGAAAATCGTATTCCTCTGCTACAAACTTGCGCAGACATGTTAGAAACGAATGCAACACTAAGCCACGTTACGAGTGTACTTATTGTGGTAAACTGTTTCGATACAATTTCATTCTTCAGAGACATTTTAAAAACCACAGACATTATTAAAACAAGCCAAGAATAGTAACGGCAGAGGTTTTTTAGTGGATGAATTCCAAATTCACAAAAACTTATAATCTTGTTATACTTTTTTCGTTTCTTTCCGACATTGTGATGTTTTCTGTAATTTTTTGACGTGACAACGTCTTATAATTCGATGGAGCCGGCTGCACGCACGAAAAAACATGACTCATGCGGCGTTACCTCGCTCTGAGGCGTTCCATTTAAGGCTTGAAGTGCAAGCGAGAGCGCGGAACGAGCGACAAAGAGGCACAATCGGCCTCCGCGTTCGGCAGCGTTCGACATCTGTCTCTCTCCTACTTGAGTGAGCGATGCGTCCGCGTGGACAGCTGCTATACAGCAATACATTTCCATGTACCTCCTTCTCTATATCCATACAAAATATCTATCAAACAAATAAAATTAAAATTTTCTTTTGAAAAATGAAACCATTCCATCAGTATTTTCTTATGACGTTGTCACGTTCAACTATCGTCAGTAAACCGACTTTACAGACAACCGATTTTTTTGTTTTTCATCAAGTAGGCAACTGTTTCAATATGTATCATGCTCATGTACATTTTTTTGTATTTATAGACTTTAGTACATTACTGTGCACTTAAGTAAAATATATATCTAATAAAACATAGATAATAACAATGTATTTCATTTTAAGCACATCGATTACGAGTTTGAATTAAAATAGTCGTCATCCCATTTATTTCAAGTTTCTTCTTCCTTCTTTTTATCCTGTAGATGTATTTAGACTACATAATTTTGATTAATGTACGAAAACGTTAATGGTTAACGGTATTGGTAACATCCAAGCAAATAACATAATATTTACGTAACATTTTCTAATTGTAATTTAATTTTAGGTTCCATGTATGTTGTAAATCATAATGGTCGATACATATGCACCAGATGCAGTGGTACCTATAAGCAAAAGGGTCATCTCATAAGGCACATGAGATACGTGTGTGGAGTAGCACCTCAGTTTAAGTGTGACTTTTGTATGAAGTTCTTTAAGCACAACTTTATTCTGAAGAAACATATTAGGAGAAAACATCCGCATTGCATTAATTAAATTGAAGGAAAAGAACAATCTACAACGAAGTGTTGATGATCTGTAGAACGTTTTTTTTTTTATAGAAAATAAATGTAATAATAAGCAGTATAAAGATCAAGTTTTTGCATGTTATTGTATAAGTTCTTTAATAAATATTTTTGTAACTAAAAGTCGTTTTTTTCTCCATTAGTTTCATATTTAAATAAACGCAAATTGTTTGCACTGCACTGTAAAATTGTTTATTATGTAGAAGTAATGTACCAACTGCGTAAATTTAGCCGGCGTCTTTGGTTTTAATTAGCATTTTACGAGCTTATTGAGCGTGGTCGTTGGGATTTTATTCCTGACGTTTCGCCTATAATTGCGAGGGCATTTTCAAAGGTAGTTCGTTGCTAGTCTTGTTCGAAGCGTTCGTCGGGACTGTTTGCTGAAGATTCGAGCAAAACCACCAGCGCACTTATAGACGAAACGTCAGAAATAAAATCCCAACGATTGGCCTACCAACAAACCCGGAAAATACTAGTAATGTACTAATGTGCCAACTATTTATAGCTCTATAAGAACATGCTTGTTTTAACACAGGCTTCGGCCTCACTTACTGCACAATTTATATGTAACAAAAATTTGTTGTTGAGGTAATGTTAAAATTAATGTTCGTTATTTTTTCTTTCTGTGAAAAATAGTAATTCTAATTTTGTTTCAGAATTCACATGTCCGCAGTGCGATGTGCACTGCAACAAATATTATAACCTTATACGTCATTTGAAGTACGTTTGTGGTAAAGAGCCCAAATACTCGTGCAATTTGTGTAAATACAAATCGAAAAGAAGAAACGACCTCAGACGTCATAAGGAAAAGAAGCATAAGGAAATTTGTCAGGATCAACCAGAATTTATTGGATTCGAAGATCACGAGATATTGGGAAAGTTATATGACTTTAATAAAAAGTGATTCTTCCTTAATAAAATAGCGAAAGAATAATTAGTTTTGTGGTGGTAATTGTTAAAAATTAATTGTTTTCATGTAAGAACTCTAGTTATTGCACAAAATATGTATAGGTATAATAGATACAAAGCTTTAAACGACAGATTATAACAATAAACTTGTAATAAAATCGTTACTTCTTCTTCCTGATTAGATATATGAAAAAATATGATTCTCCCATTGCATTCCTATTGCAACTTAAGAAAGTGATAAATAAATATTGCAATTTCGAAACAAAACTGCGGCATGTGAAGGTGGTATACCGGCATCTACTGACTGTTTACTGCAGTATTGTTTGTTTTTTGTTTGTGTGATTTATCGAAGTTATCTAGATGCCTATGATGTGCTGATGGAAACTAATAAGTTTGAAATCGCGGTCTACATCTGGCAATTTCGATAAAAAGCTGAATGTTCTCTATAAGTCATACTTACAATGTGATCTAAAATAATTATAAATTCGGGTACCAAAAATTGGATTAAACCGCTTATGGATTTATGTATATGTAGGGGTAATAATAAATAAATAAATAACTGTCGAATTTTTTTTTAATAGGTCCTTGTTCGTTTCGTTGTCACCAATGCCGCAAGACTTACAAGTATCGAAGAAATCTTTTGAAACATATTAATTACGAGTGTGGAATAGAACCGAAATTCGCTTGTCCCTACTGTACATACAAAGCCAAGCAGAAGATTACGTTACGATCACATATGATTAACAGACATGGAAACGATTTAGTAAAGAGATTTATTTGATTTTTGTATATGCATTTATTGAGTATATCTTATATTGTGTATACAACATTGAATGTTGTAATAGTTATTAAAATCATTTGTTAATAATATTACTAAGGACCGCACGTCGTTATGAGGGACGCACTTAGGAAATAAATTGTTGTCAATTACCTAACTACTAACCATGCATTTTTGACTGCTCCAATTAGTCGACACTGGTCAAGAATAAAATTAAATTTATTTTTAATAAAAATAAAGAATACTTAACTATTAAATTCGGACCTTCCATGTGACTGCGAACGGCGTTAGGTCCTTAAATATTTCTGCTAAATAAAAAAAAATAATAAAATTTGTTGTATTTTACTCCTGAATATGCTATAATCCAGTGGTTTCCAACCCCATTTTTTTTGTTTTGATATTATTTTTCTTTGTTTTTCAAAGTGACATTTTGATAACAGCTAGGCGCCCCCTTTACAATAGTTCCGCGTCCCATGGATGGGAAATCAATACTGTAATCGTTAGAAATAGTAATAAAAATAGATATTTAACGATAAAGTTGACACATTTGTTTGTGTTTTCCGTTTTGTTAATGCCTGATTAATTTTAGTACTTACTTAGGGTAGATTGCCTTTGTAGATGTATTCCCTTAATTGAGGTAAGAAAATAGAATGTAGTGAAACCAGTGTGTGCATATATATATATCTATATTTATCTGGATTAGTATCTATAAATTAATAAGATTTTTTTTAGATTCAAACGAACGTTTTCCCTGTCCCGTATGCGGATTGACGTACAAGAGGAGGAAACATCTCAGTCGACACATGCACTATGAATGTGTCAATGTTATTCCCAGATTTCGTTGTGAAGTTTGCAGCAAAAGATACACTCAGAAGCATAATCTTAATAAGCATCTTCTAAAAGCCCACAACATTCTTGGGAACGATCAAGAATTTGATATTTACCAATAAAGTTTGAAGCGAAGGTTTCGTACCATACTCAATTTTTCTTCCCATCCGGCCGTATGGCCGAATATACCTAATATAATGTGTTCCCTCTGTAATTTTAATATTAATAAATATTATACCATAAACAGTGTTATCCATTTTCGCTTACAAAATTTTATATGCAGGATCAGAATGAAGATCTTGGTCTGCCTACTCTACGTTTACGTAAGTATTATTGAGTGCTAACTATTCAAAATTGTAGAGCTCAATGTAATTATTAATGCTTATTTACACGTCACTATATTTATCTAATCAGCTGTCCAAATATTAACAACTGGCTGTCGTCCGTAGGCCTGTTGATATTGTTACTCTGGAGCAGTTTCCATTCTTCTCGAGAATTCTAGAAATCCTGTTGTTAAGCTGTAAATATGTGTCACTCAGGGTATAATTTATTACCCTCCGCGTCTTTAGCTCTTTAGCACAAAAATTGTCGACCATCGGTCGGTTCCTACCTGCGAACATACCCAAGAGTCGTCGAGCGATAAGAAAAATAAACTACTATTCCCGCAATTTTGTGATTACTTCCTGAAAAGATTGAAAGATCCATGTACGTATTTAATATTTAGGTAGTGTATAGTAGACAGTATGAACTTTCCTAAAGTTTTTATTATTTTAGGTAGCAAGGACCTAGTTGATAGATTTCGTTGTAACAGATGCCCCAAATCGTACACCCTCTTGACAAATTTGAGAAGACACCAGAGGATAGTGTGCGGAAAAGAAAAGAAAATTGTCTGTCGGTGGTGTTCTACAAAGTTTTATTACAAGAGCGAGTTATTGTCGCACCATTTGTCAAACCACAGAGACATTGATGTTAAGAATATCAAAACATAAATAACATATTTTTCATCGTATAACCATACTATTATGTACTGTGGCATCTTAGTCACCCCCGATGTTAATTATAAACGTTAGGGATCTTAACATGGACGTTAAGAGTACCTATGCTCTAAATTGTTTAAACACATTTTGGAGTTAACAGTATTATTAACGTTTAGGTTACTGTTCGTTGATTGGGACAGGTGTTATCCATAACAGAAGAAAAGTAATTCTGTCTTGCCTTGAGTTTTATTATTATTACAATAAAAAGGCATGTATTGCTATAAAAAGCTTAAAAAGTGCTATTGTGTATATACGCATATTTGCCGTAACATGAATGTTGAACTTTTCTCGATGAAACATTTTTAGTAAGGAAGACAACACAGAAGCTGACTATGCTACAATTGTGAATAAAATAAAAGTTTTACAACAGAAAATTGTCTTTATGTACTCCACGCAAGCACCCACATTAGTTCCTCTCATTGTATCATGGTCGGATACACGACAAAACGTACCATGTTACCAAACGTACCACGTCTATCTACCAAGGGTCTACCAATTGCTTTAATGTATTTTGAATGTGACAAAACGTACCATCGTTATTGAGCAATATTGGATCTATTTAAACAATTGTTTAAAAACGATTTTTATAACGTAACATAACCTCGTGTCTCCGGCGGGCAATGGCATTAAAGAAAGTCCAGTCTGTTATAAATCTACATGGTCAAACCTCCATAATCAGCTGACTACAACCCACAATATACTATTATACTTCATTTACTTTCTCTAGCGATGTGCCCCTTCCAATGTTTGGATGCGCGGTGGCAAAATCGTATGTAGGGAGAAAAAAGCTCATTATACTCTCGACTCTTGTCCATTAAGCATACTTTTTCATACAGTACCTGCCAAAAGTTTTGTTCAATCATGAATAGTAGTGCGAGTCGAAAACAAGCGCTAAAGCCTTTAATATATCTTCAAATATAAATAAACATCCTGTTGATATTTTCAGTAGTAAATGGTACCAATAACAGCACATTTGAGCAATGCAATTGTAGTGGACGAAATGGTCAATTTTTCCGTGCAGTACTGTACGAATTATACGCTCCTCACCGGTTAAGAGTTTGGCCGAGAGTTGTCTCCTTCCTTTTCTAGCCTAGGGCTGTTCTTTTCTACTTTGCGCCGGTCAAACTAAAGGTCACATCGCTAAAGAAATTGCTACGCCACATAGAATATCCCTGGTGGTACGTTTTGACATCAATAGGTAGAAATGGTACGTTTTGTCGCTGGTACATTTTGACGTGTAACGACCATAGTCACGTTATTGTGACGACCTTCACTACTTTTGTAGTTTTATGAATAAAAATTGTACATTTCCGAGTAAGTACCAAAGCTCATAGTTTTACTTGTATTTAGATCATTTTGTGTTAAGTTAAGTAGACTATCTGTAGATTTTCGTGATTAGTATTGTTCTAGATATTTATTTACATTATTTATGTTGCAGGGGAAAGAAATTACTACTGCGGTCAGTGTGGCAGGTCATACAAAAGGGCTAAACATTTGTACAGGCATAGAAAATTCGAATGCGGCAAGGAACCAACTTTTGCTTGCGAATTTCCCGGTTGCACTTTCAAATGCAAAAGAAAGGACAATTTGAAATTGCATCAAAAGACTCATTGGTCTCCTGCAAAACGAAATTTCGTGTGGAACAACTGCATAAAGTTGCTGTAAATAATACTATTTGTTTTCATAAGTTAAGGATAGGTTTAAATTCATATAATGTAGCCTATAAAATTATCTTACTTTCGTGGTCGTTTTGATTCAAGTACATGTTAATGGTATGTATGTACGTTATGGACACTGCGGCCAATTTTTGTAAACAGTTACTAAACTTTTAAAAATAAATCGGGTAAAGGATTTAATCAGTTTTGTCTAATCTACGACATTTTCTGTTTATCACTGTCGTTATTACATTACCTTATTATTATTATTATTGTTAAGTGTTACTGATAATTCGCATAAATTTAAGTTGTAATCTTTTGTAGTTATAGATGCTGAATTTAAATAAATAATAATAGATATCGTCGACGCTTCTTTGATTTATTTTTTATTTATCGACGATAGGAAAGAAATTTACTAGCGTATAAAACCGAAAAGTGTAACGTTACGCGTCACGTCACGCTCCATGTGTGACCCCTAGTGGATATGTCCGAAAGGAGTCATTTTAACAGGCCTCAGAAGCTAGCCTGTTAGTACCAACCGATAACCCGAAAATTACAATTTCGGCAAATTGTCAGCAAATCGCAGTGTATGTAATTTAACTAAAATATTTGTTTTAGGAAAATGGGTCTGCGTGTGTGGAAAAGAATACAACCGAGAAAAATCGTATTATGTTCATTGGAAATATGATTGCATCAAAGTTAATGAACAAATTCGTTGTCCAGTAAACGGTTGCGTGTTTAAGAGTATGCGAAGACATAATTTGAAAAGACATTTAAATCTCATTCATAGGATATTTGATGACATATAAGACTGCATAATTTCCAGAGAGAAATTTTTAGTTTTAGGCTTTAGCTAGCGTGCACTGTCTCTCTTCTTCTATGCTCACGTCATAAAGAAACTTCGCTCCTATCAGGCATCCCGAGATACCACACGACTTCCTTTTTATATTCCTCGAATGTGCTTTTGTTTATTAACAAAACTTCAAACATTTTTCACTAGATGGCAGCTTACCGTCTCTTTGAACTTTCAATACAAACCCTCTGTTGTTGAATTTTTTTATTTAAATTGTGTATGATGTAACTTCATAGTATTAATAAGACCTAAACGTTAAATAGGTTTATTTTTTATAATTGACTAAATAAAATTGTTAATACCTATTGATTTTTGTTACTTTTTTTGTACAAATGTGTACCGCATGTATTTATAAAATTTATAGATACATACGATAATTTTATGTAGTTGCAACAACTTATTTTAGGTAACAAGGCCCAGGTAGATAAATTTCGTTGCAATAGGTGTCCAAAATCATATACCCTCTTAAGAAATCTAAGAAGACATCAAAAGGTAGAGTGCGGAAAAGAGAAAGGAATTGTCTGTCAGTGGTGTTCTGCAAGATTTTATTACAAGTCCAAGTTATTGTCACATCATTTGACAAAGCACAGAGAGAAAATATCAAAAAATTGTCGTTGAACTCACTACAATATAATTAATATATTTTTCTTTTGACCTAGAATCAGTTAGAGATTTTACTGTTTTTTAGTAATTTGATGACATTTACTTGTGTTTTGGTTTATATTCTGTTTTATATCTAAGTTCTTAATAAATTGTCATAGTTTTAGAAGCAAGAAACCTTCATTTTTCTAATAATAAATGTGGAAAATTTTATACATAAATCGAAACATATCTACATATTAAGTACATGAAAGATAGCGAAATCGTCTGTCTGTATCTGTTGTTACATTAGTTAGTCACTTACGATTGGAAACTTATTGACAGACTACCTAACTGTTGGCAGGGAGACACTGATTGGATTATCTACGCTAATTGTAGTTAGCGAGCTGACGTCCTTGTGCCGCTTGAATCATCAGCTTTTTAAGTAATTTAAAGTATTTTTTTTTATATGAATTAGGGAGAATCTGGGCCTATTTCGAGATAAGGGGGGAGAAGCAAGAAAATCGTAGAAAATGTCGACCTAACTACTTGGTTTTAACGGTATAATTTACTTAAAATTCTACACATTCCGGGAAAATAGTGGCAGAAAAAAATTCATGGGCCATTTTGTCGTGCGTGAATAAAATAGATTCTAAGTGGGTCTAAGAAAATTGTACATGGCCCAACCAAAATTTTTACTATTATTTTTCCCGGAATATTAGTTATTTTAAATAAAATATACCGTCAATACCAAGCGGCTGGGCCGATATTTTTTCGATTTCCTGCCCTCCCTTACCCTTTATCACGAAATGGGTCCTAATCCCTAAAATATAAATTACTTAAGAAGCTGATGTATCAGGCAGTAGAAGGTTAGGACGACATATTTTTTTTGCGCTTCAACTACCTCACTATTAGGGTTGTAAATGTATTTGTAATTTGTATTTGAAAATGAATAAATCTAGAAGGTAAAATACAGTTAAATTGTTTGTAGAATGTTACCTACAAAAGCGTTTATTTTTCAAAATTGAATAATAAAATTATAAAAAGTAGAAAAAGGAGACTGTGGTAAATAATAATTAATTAAAAAATTAAAAATAAGACTCGCCCCTAATTACCACAAAAACTTTTTGGGCGGACACGTGTTTCGCCCAATTTATACGCAGTCTCGCATTGATAATGCCCACGTATGAAGTTGGCGAAACACGTGGCCACTCAAAAAGTATTAATGGTAATTAGGGGTGTGTCTTCTTTTTCATTTTTTAATACTTACCCATTGTTTGTTGTTACCGCTATAAACTTTTTAAGATGTAATTTTGCCTTTAAGTGTAGATCCCATGTTTATTTGTGAATTTGGTGGTCATAAACACAAACAAAAGGTCACTTTGCAATTACACATGACGTATAAACATGCTGAGAAAATATAGTTTCTTAACTAAGGATTAAATTTTTAAAAGACTGATTCTTTTTAAGTGTTACTGATAATTCGCATAAATTTAAGTTGTAATCTTTTGTAGTTATAGATGCTGAATTTAAATAAATAATAATAGATATCGTCGACGCTTCTTTGATTTATTTTTTATTTATCGACGATAGGAAAGAAATTTACTAGCGTATAAAACCGAAAAGTGTAACGTTACGCGTCACGTCACGCTCCATGTGTGACCCCNATATCTTTATTTTAATTCATTTATTTTGTTTCTAGATAATCATCAGAGGTGTGAAAAATGCCAGAAAAGTTACAAATACCGAACAAGTCTTTTGAGACACATTAGATATGAATGTGGCATAGAACCAATGTTCTTATGCGAATTTTGTGACTATAAAACTAAACAAAAAAATCATTTGCGGCGACACGCATTGTGTAAACACCGTGATATTTCAACTACTTATTATTGATTAAACGTTTGAGAATGTGTGTTTCTTTTATTAAAAAAAACAATTACAAGACTTTTGTCGACACATTAGTTCGAAAATATTTCAGAATGTTTTAGAATAGACGAGTAATAGCGAAGTATGTCGAAGCGGGATAGATGTATAAGCATGACAGTATGTTCTAGATTGTTGCGGAACTTTCGAGAAACATCTGGAATGTTCTAGAATTTTCTAAAAATTTTTGGATGTTTCTAAATTTCGTTAAAAATTCTCAAATTTTTCAGAGCATTCTCGAAAGTTTCACTTCTATCTATAATGTTTTCAAATTCCTTTGAAATTTTCTTGATGTGATATGTTTGCCAGGTATTACGGTTAGTATTCAATAAAGCTGTCAGTTGATATATGTAGTTGATACAACCATCTGCTTATACAAAACTATAACTAACGTATTTTTTTGAACTGTCATATTTTTTATACTTAAAATAAACTAGTTTTTAAGTTGCGTTCCTTTACAGAATTAAATTTCTCTATTGCTTGGATTGGTTCAAGTGGTTTTTGTTATTTATTTAAAGGGAATATATTTTAATAATTTAATATATCTACAGTTATTACAATACTGAACTATATTGTACTATTTAAGACGAACCTTATATCAGTATTCTTATATCTTAATTTATTTATTTTTGTTTCTAGATAAGCATCACAGGTGCGAAAAATGCCATAAAATTTACAAATACCGAAGAAGTCTTTTGAGACACATAAAATACGAATGTGATAAGGAGCCGATGTTCCTTTGTAAGTTTTGTGACCATAAAACCAAACAGAAAATACATTTACGATTGCATGTTATGTATAAGCATCCTGAACGTATGATTTCTTAACTGTTATTTAATTAAAATCGGCAGTAATCAAATAAAAATTAGAATATACAAGATGTCTGCATATTTGTAATAAAAGGTTGAACCAAAAGCGTTTGCATTTTCGTACTTTATCTAACACAAAACAATTGCCTCATTTGTACAACAACAACAACTACAACTTTCCCATTAATAATAAATTACTGAAAAATATGTTCGCAGCTGGTGATATAATGCAAATACCACTATTAATTTAGAAAAGCTCCAATATTTAAAAAATGAGAAAGTGCCTGCAAGGTTTTGTTAAAAAGTATTTTATACTTAAGTGAATGTAGAAAATTAAATAGATACTACAAAAAAGTATTTTGAAAACGTGTATTTTGCATTTATTAAGCTTTGCAAATACATTACTAATATATGTACATTTAGTATTATATAAATAAAAATATTTCTAACAATTTCCACACTCAGCAGGATTATTTAGACTAGTGTTCTCCAACAGCGAGTTTGTTTGCCAAATGTAATACAAAATGTAATGAATTGTCCTTTTATTTGCATTCTAATATTTTTGTTTTATTTCCAGGCGACCTTCATAAGTGTGAAAGATGCTTTAAAATTTATAAGTACCGAAGGAATCTTCTGAGGCACCTTAGATATGAGTGCGGTGTAGAACCAATGTTTTGGTGCAAATTGTGCAGTCATAGAACCAAACAAAAAAATAGTTTAGCCACTCATATGTGGTACAAGCATCGTGATAAAATGAGCTTGACATAACTAACGTAAAAGTTGCCTCTATTTTATTACAGAAGGGCCTTCATATATTATACGTATAAATATTAAGTTTTTTTACTACTATAATGCAGTAACAAATTATGGTCTACGTAATGGGACACACACACTGTTTGTTCTTTTAATACTAAACTGCATAAAAATGTGCAATGCCTATAATTAAGTACTATATGTATATTACTTTTAATGATCACCTAACAATTTAAAGTAATATATGTGTAAGTGTAATCTAGGTCTCTAGTTCTATAGTTTCTGTTCTTTTAACTGGATTTATTTTACTACAGCTTAGAACTCACAGTAAAACTTGAACAAAATTCTTAACCAATTCGGCGTGTGATTTTGAACTCCATGATATTATAATATAAGGACATTAATTACAACAAATGAATATAAATAGGATAACAGATAATATAAA